GCAGGGAGGATTATGAACTCAAAATGAACAGCCACGTATAATTCTCGTTCACTGAACCAATATGGCTAAGTATGACAGTGAAAGGAGATATGATGAATAGAATCGTATAATCATTGACAAAGATCCAAGAAGAGACTTCGACTTAGAACTTCATCGGTTGCACTAAGATAAAAAAATGATTGCAATTATCATAATTTAACTATAATTTATAGTCCATTTTTTCGAGCCAACTATATATTTTTTTTTAGTAGAACGATAAATATAAATATTATTATTAATATTACAGCAGTGTAATAATTATTATTAATATTATATATATTATATATATAATAATAACTATAACAATGGAACTCTTAATCATAATTTATCATGTAATTATATTCACTAATACTAAATACTTTTCTCTCAATGTATATCGCGCAAAGTCAATGCGTTCAGCTTAAATGATACCAAATATAACACAGTTTTCATATCACTCTTATTTCAAAAGTGACACAACAAATTAATAGCGAATTCGATCAAATGCAATGTTCGCATTAAGGTCATCGTACATAGATCGACCTAAAACTATGTTTAATATAAGTAGAAATAAGCTCTATAAAACTAACAGGATCAAATCAGCAGAATCAAATCCTATCAAAATTTTTAGTACTCATTTTGTACTAAATTGTATCATTGATAATCTTACATCGTGTGCCATTTCGAAAAAAATCGTGGCAATGCTAGCTTAATATTAAGTTGACAGAACCAATTCAAAATAAAAGAAAAAAAGAAAAATAATATCAGAAATCAATAGGATTGAATTGGTACTATTTTATACAAAAACAATTCTATATTAACTAATAAGATTGGAAATAAGACCATTTATGTTAGATACATTACTTTACGAAGCACCACTACGATCTGAATATTAAGATGTTGAAGTATTACATATATTCATTTAAATGAGTTAATTTCAGAAATTATAATTGCCGATAGTTGTCGGACTTTCAATCAATCTGAAATATCAATCTGAAATATTAATAATCCCCCCAAATTTCTTAAATTTAATCTTATTCTTATTATATCTTCTATTGTATATTAAGTATCATTTCCAAAAAAACATTGGCGCTATTAATTTAATATTTAAACTGGCAGGACCATAAAAAAACAACACAAGAGCAAAAATTAACATAATTAAATTTGTATTAATTTATACAATTGAGAGTAAATTAATACTTTACATGTTTTCTCCTTAAAATAATTTTATTAGTATATACTTACAATCTATGAGGCAAAATTACTATTAATAATATAATTAGTATAAAATATTACTAAAAATTCCGATAGATCTGATTTCTGCTGATTTGATCTTGCTAGAGCTGTAATTTTGTACTGTGTGCCATTTAAAAAAAAATCGGCGATGCTAGCTTAATATTGCTGGCAGGACTTTAAAATAAAAGAAAAAAGAAAAATAATATCAAAAATCAGTAGGATTTGTACTATTTTGTACTAACTCAAAAACAATTCTATATTATGTGTAATATCCAAGAAAATAGTGGTGAAAAATTAAAACAGCTGAATTTGTACTAATTTATACCATTAAAAGTAAGTTAATACTTTGTTAATGTTTTCTCCTTAAAATTTTTTTATTAGTATATACTCACAATCTATGAGGCATTTCACATCAAACCGGATTCCTTTGAAACATTATCATTATATTTTTTTTTAAATTACTAACATATTACTACAGAAACATGAGACACGTATTTCGCGAAAAAAATTTGAGATTTTTCTTGTAAAGTTATTCACGCTTGTAAGTTGCAGAAATTCATAAAAAATATCGCTCATGCGAATATTATTATATCATCGAATCATTAGTTGCACAAAAAAAATGCATGAGATCGATTTTATAGATTTTAAATGTTGACGTGATATACCTCATAGATTATAAATATAATAAAGTCATTTTAAGGAGAAAACATGTAAAATATTAATTTACTCTCAATTGTACAAATTAGTACAAATTTAGTTATGTTAATTTTTTCTCTTGTGTTGTTTTTTATGATCCTGCCAGCTTAAATATTAAATTAGTAACGCCAATGTTTTCTTGGAAATGATACATAATAATACGTAGAATTGTTTTTAGTAATACAAAATAGTACAAATAGTTCAATAGTTCAATAATACAATAATTCAATCCTATTGATTTTTGAATATTATTTTTCTTTTTTTCTTTTATTTTGAATTGATTCTGTTAGCTTAATATTAAGCTAGCATCACTATGATTTTTTTTAAATGACACACGGTGCTACAAAATTATCATTAATAATACAATTTAGTACAAAATGAGTAAAATTTTGAATAAAAATTCTAATAGGTCCAATAAGTCGATTGGATTCTGTTGATTTGGTCTGCTAGTTTTATAGAACTGTAGAAATAGATTAAATCGCGAAATCTTAAATAAATACACTTTATAATATTGTTGGGCAAAATGTATTTTATAATTCGAAATATTTGTATTTTACTTTTACTATTTAAATTAAATCAATACATAAAATGATTATAATACGCGAAAAATGATTATAATATGCACTCTTGTGCATTAATATATCCAATCAAATTCGTTATAAGTTTTACAGAAAAAGAAAGAGCAATTTTTTTCAATTTGATAGAAAATTATTGATTAATCAAATAATATTGGTAAAAAAAATATATTCTTAACATGATCAAATGTTATTTTTATTTTACGATCCTTATAAAAACTCATCTCTTTTTAGTTATAATGATTTTCTATAAAATTAAATTAGTTCACTTTTAATGATTGATTTTCATTTAATATCAAATTATTTCTATTTTTCTTTTTTGTATTAGATATATAGTATACTGTATTATATAGATATACTGTACAAAATATTGAAAGTACATAAATATAATACAAATAATCCTAATGATATAATTAATATCAAAATAACTTTTCACTAATTGAAAACAAGCATAGGAAATTAATAAATTAACACCTTCGATATTTTTAACAAGACTGCAGCTTTAGTATGAATTTAGTTATGGTAATAGCTAAAAAAATCACGTTTTTGAGTTGTATCACATTTTTTAAATAAGAGAGTAATATGTCTTAATTTTAAGTTTTATAAGTCTTAATTAGTTATCACATACACACACACACATACACACACACACACACACACACACACACACACACACACACACACATATATATATATAGAGATCATTATATATATTAGATATATAATGAGCAAGTTTTCTTATCTTATCTTATCTATAACTCTTATGCAAACCGCTAAGAAATCAAAAGGCACACTTGATCTATAATTATAGAGAAATCATAATACCATGGCTTAATGAATATAAATCAAAATAAACATATATATTATAAATACGATATATTATAAATACAAGAAAATAAAATTGTAAATTTTATATAACTAAATTTCAAGTAGTTCTCAATCTTGCAAATAAAATGTGAATGACCTATAACAAAGAAATGAAATAATTTAGTTTATTGCCTCGATCATTGACTTTCTTATTTTAACACGCATTTGTGTGAAACAAATTATGTGAAGATTCATATTGTGATTAATTATTTTCAACTTTATTAAATTCAATTAATTTGTATCTTAATTAATAATAATCCATAATTAGACCTTTAATTGTATATTATAATTAATTAGTTTTCAGATTCATTGCGAATTAGCTTTTAAATCGATAGTTATGGATATGCGATGATAGGCAGTGAAATTTAATTAGATATATACCCGTTCACTGAACGTTCACAAAATATCTGCAATGTCTCCATAAGAATGCGATTACTATAAAAAGCGGTAATCTTGCAAAGCCAATATTACAAAAAGTATTGAATAAAATAATATTCAAGAATTGAAGTAGAGATTTATTACAAATTTTTCAAGTTTTGAACCAATTCTTCAAATGATATAATTAATTTAGATATAGACAAAAACAAAATATCGATAAAATTCAAATAACATTCAATCAATTAAATATTTAGAAATCAAAAATTTAAATACTACTAAATTTTCTCTTAATCGTTTCGTAAACATTTTTTTTTAATTTAAAATTTTATTTTTTACTATATGTTATAAACTATAAAAAAAATAATTAAGCATCAAATTTGTCATAATTTTGATCTTAATCAACTTTCTAATAAAAGACTTACGACATAATTATATAATTCCAAACATATGGGATTTCTGCTTTTCCGTCGGTAACCTTGACCTACTTATACTAATGTGCCTAGATTTATTATAAACAGAAATACATATTATTCTTTATTTTATACAAAAACTTATCAGAATGTGAGATTTGTTCCACAAAGTATTAATCTAATTTGAATATTAAAGTCACAGCGAGTTATTTTTCACTTGTTAATGATCTATTGTTTTGAATCTTTTAAAGTAATGTAAAGATGCATCCTGTTTGAATCTTATCCAATAAATTGTATTTTTCCATTCCATTATTTTACAATCTTTATCAATATTCCCGCGAATTTCATGTATCGATATTTTTCCTATTTGTGCGTTTACATTTTGATATATTAATCATGGCAATTATTAACTTAAAATATAATATCCAACGTATATTCTAAATAAGATTCAGATTTTGCATTTAAATAAAAATATTTATTTTATTAAAATATTTATTTATAGTAGTCATTTCCTGTACAGGAAGTACAGTAATCTATACAGTAGTCTGAAACGAGTAGGAAGAAAAATATATATCTAAATTGCAGTATCTCCTTGTAATTAAATCTCAATCGTTACTCAATCAATCTATGCACTCGCACACTCATTTCATTATAACGAGACATCCTGCTTTCAACTTTCCATAAAGTACTGATTGCAAGTCCCGTTTATACCACTCCCATGGAGCACGATCGAAAAGACAAAGTAAAACTCCGTGCGGAAGATCAGACAAAAAACAAATTTTTACGCGCCAAGGAATGGATAATGAACGGTTGCATCCGCGCGAAAGTGCACTTTGTGCAAAAGTGACTAACCACAATAACTGCTGCTTCAGTTAGAGAGTCGGTCAGGAAATCTTTTTATATACGCAAAATGGCACAGCTTTTCCAAGATAATTCTACTCGTTGTAGTTTGATAATTTTGATTCGCTTTAAAATACGAAATTGTGGCGGCTCTTCTCTTCAAAATAACGAATGAAACAATATATAAATCATCAATTGCGATCAAGATAATAAAAAAATCTGCCCTAGAATTCAACTTAATAACATTCTATTAAAAAAAAATAAAATTCTAAAAATTCTAAAAATTTATTTTAAAAATATAAGGTATTTAAAAAATAATTTTTTCATTGAATATT